CCACTACTAAGTCTCTTCTCCTTTTTCTGTGACCATTCAATCTTCATCTCCTACTTCCTCTCTGGCCCGTGGCCCCAACCCACATATTTATCAACACATTTATATGGGGAAAGAGCAGTTTGTTTTACCATGCAATGGAAACGCCAAAACAAAAGGAAAGAGAACACAAAGCGGAATGCATCGGTCAGATTTTTATTGCTGGTGGGGAGTCGCCATCCTGGTCACCGCTCGGGTCACTGATTGTGTTCGGGGAAAATTCTGAATTGGAAACATTTCAGATTCGGTTCTGAAAAGCGAGAATCCGTGATGTTCAAGTCCACCGAGTTTGGTACAAAAAAATGCCCATATCAGTAAATAGGTGCCTATAATTACCGGCGTGGCTCTTTAGGTCAGTAGGGGTCTATGTGTATTGGTAAATTATGAACCAGTACAGGTCTGGTTCATGATCTGGCAAAGTATTGGTACCACAATGACATAGAAAGCACCAGTTCCCCTTAATATTGCAGGAAGTGGTGGGTAGCGAGTGTGCAGCCCCCTTCCCCATCCAGTACCATACCAGGTCACATACCCCTTACACAGTAGTACCCTTTGTGATGGACCCCCGTACTCAGGATGAGTATGTGCGCCGCTATCTTCTTCCTTGCTCAGGAGATATTGCAACCCGCTGATCTTTAGCTCTCAGTTTCCCCAGTCACTGGTCGGGACACGAGTGATGTCTCAGTGTTGAGGGACAACGGTCTCTTCTGTGCCCCTAGGAGGAGGTAATAGTTAAATGATGGTGGAATCTGTAAATTCCCTTTTATAATATGGCGGAGGTGACACAATATCTACCCCGTACCAGGGGAAAGAGTACACGGGTACATTAGAATCCCTTACCCCCAAAGTTAAAATGATACGTTATTAATGCCCCCGGAAGTAAATCCAGAGTCAATCATGGCATCCAGCGAGGTAACCAACATCAATTATGGCATCCAATGAGATAATCCATGTCACAATTACACTGTCTAGTGAGGTAATCCATATCAATTGCCGTGTGCAGAGAGGTAATCCACGTCAATCATGGCGTCCAGCGAGGCAATCAATGTCAACCATGGCGTCCAGCAAGGGAATCCACGTCAATTTCGACATCCAGTGAGGTAATCCATGTCAACCATGATGCCTAGTGAAGTAATCCACGTCATTCAGGTTGACCAGTGTGGTAATCCACATCAATCTGGATAACCACTACGTGTGGATGTGGTGGCGGGTGGTGGGGATGAAAGGGGGCACTCAGATTCAAATAAGCCCCCCTGCCCGCAGACCTCCACAACCACCAGGCCAGTGTTGTGGGGAAGAGGCCCTTCTCCTCATTAACATGAGGACAAGGTGTTTTTCCAGGGTGTCCCCCCCCCCTGTGCTAGGACATGT